CAATAGCAATAGACGGGCAGCGAGGATTTTTCTAGGGATGCAAAGCCCTACCCTTTGCTTTTCACTGTACTCTTGTGCAAGCTGAATCTTGGAAATGGATACAATGATTTGCGTTGTTTTGATAGTTAATTAACTGATGCAATCCAACATTCTGAAAATGAAATTGTAGGGATACACTTGCAAACAGCCTGCTCTATAATTGAGTTCATCCTCCAGGCACAAGCTTTATCTAGGAGATCTTAATGGGTGCATCTTTTTGACTCATGGAAAAAGCTCTGCGGCGCGGCACCGTACGGCGTTTGCCTCCGTCTGCAGGACTAGTGGGGAATGCTCGGGAGTCCCGGCTGCTCTCCCTAATATAAACCATCTACAGCGGAGAGCCTCTCCGTCCCCGACGGAGCCGAAGCTCTTCATTCCGCATGCAGTAGCATAATCAAAAGTTCATTCTGATTTAGAAATAATTGACTCCCACTTTGAACAGACTCATTTCTAAGTCTGCTAGGACAGTCGTCTGCCCTGCTGAACATACTGGGTTCATCATCACGATTGTATTAGTACATCGATGTAGTTGGTGCATCCTAAACGCTTAGTTGCTCAGTGGCATTTACGTAGCTCTCGGAGACCTGTACTTGCCCCCCGTGTCCGTCGGCCACCCATCACCCGCAAGAACGCTGATAGAGCCTGGCTGCAAGTGGCTTCCAATGCTTCTGGGTTCCTAGCAGGCCCCAAGTGAAAGCCGCATGAGCATACGTAAGTAATGATGCAAAACCACATAATCCTCATTAGAGATCTACTCAGCAGCAAAAACAGAGCATTTCTACAGAAATTCTGGAGCGTCATCAATTTGCATAGCTGAGTGGAAAAGTAACAATGTAATTGAGACATGCTCGGAGTAATAATTACTGAAAATAAGCCGTTTAATAAAGCTCCCGAGTATGACTTAAGGGAGGTGGCAAGGACACAAGAACTTTTACTCCATTACACTGTATATATAAAGTGAGTGTAACAGTCCTATAAAAATGGAAATGCATGCAGAGGGTAAGAGTCTCCCCGTCACCCTCCAGGCTACTGAAAAAGAATAGGAAGAAGGAAGATTTCCATGGAGAGGTAGTAGAGAAGGTGCAATTATTTATCAAAAAAAAAAAAAAAAGTTTCCTGTGCTCATTTCCCAGCGAGTCATCCAAGCCTTCTGATTACTTTCTACACTTTTAGAGGAAAAGCTAAAATCCAGTGGACTCCAGCACGCTCTCAAGCGTGGTCCCATTGAACGGGTCACTCCTGCACGCCACGGGCACGGGCAGAGCGCCCCTGTAACAGAGATGCTGTACGTAACGTGTCACACAACACGCACACCGCAAAGTTTAGTTCAATTTTATTTTCCACTGTAACGGTTTTCGAATGATACATCATGCAGTCTGCCAGTGTATCCATCCATCTCTGATAGAATTTTACAACGAAGATAAAAGACTTATCTCCATGGGATGGGGGAAGGAGGGTTCAGGTCTGCTATCAAGAGTTTAATACATTTCAGCATCGTTTGATGCAATGGCAAAAAATTTCCCCTTGTTACCAGCAAAACGTGTCCACAATTTATTTTTTTCCTAAATTGAACACTACTGTAAAGATACATAGAGCCCAGAGAATACACATCTGCAGTACACGTTACACACTTTACAAACTAGACATGTATAATTCTACAGAATGCCTCAGCCCCCGTGGTTCTCCCACAACGAAAAGTGTTTCAATGGCCAAGACTGTGAGAGCGAGAGAGGGACTGGTGGAGCGGTGTTCCATCCGGCGCAGCGGGTGCTCCCCAGCGCACTTCGCAGTTCGTACAGGCACAGTGAAGACGAAAATCAAAGCAAGGGCAGATTAAGATTATCCTGCCAATTTATTTTTGGATTCCTTCCATTTCCGATTGAGATGCACTTCATTCGTGTTTGCACAAAAGTCTATCTTCTCCAATAACAGAAGTTTGATTAGGCCTCCTTTTCCTTTTGGACCTGCATGACCATTTGGTTTAAATACCCATTTATTCAAATGAAACAACGTTCAGCTTAAAAGTCTTTATTCTGTTTATTTCCAAGCCTTAGTTATCAAAATTTCAGGCAAATGTGCATCTTAGTCCATTAGGCTTTATAAAATGAAATTTAAACTCATAAGGTTCTGTAGGCAGAAATTATTGTAGTAAAGTTTTTTTGCAACTCATTTTTTGGTTTTCAATACAGTCAGGATAATCCGCTCTCACCCTTGTTGAGTTAAATACAAACTTAAAAATGCATCAGCCAAGATCTTTCCAGGTTTAAAACTTTCCTTGCTTTCGAGAAAACAAGTCGATGAAACGTGAACTCAAGGACAAACACAAGATATTTGAACAGATCATTAAGAGAAGCTCAAGTGAGCAGGAAATACTTTTTAATTACCAGCAAAAAGGACAATATGCACTTTCGTTCCATCTGAAGTACGTTCTCCATTTGTGAACAGTATTGCCACCAAAAGTTGTCCCACGCATGACATTTTAGATGTGAAATTTAGTTTGTGCTATACAAATCACAACTTTAAAGTTAGCCTGGAATAAATATAACACAACGTCCAAAGAGCAAAGAAAGGAAGATAGCGTCAAGTAATGGAGATAGCGGGAGACAGGTTTTGATCTCTGCAGAGCAGATGTGTGGTTTTCATTTCCATATATAAAATGTGTAAGACTTAAAAATGGTACAAAAGTTGAATATACAATACGCAATACAAACTTAAGTTGCCTAATTAAAAGAGGCTTACAAAACAAGAATCCATCTATAAGCAGAGTAAGTTCAACTGACAGAATTAATCATTTCCAATCGAGTAAATATCTTCTGTACTTCTTTTTGAGGATTTTAGCCTAAGGCATCTTTTCAGCGTTTCAGTTACAGAAAGCCCTCCTACAGTCTTGACGTAAAAGTTAACTTGGAGAAACTTACATTGTTTTAGCTAGGTGAACTGACTGGCTGATCAGCACCAGCACAATTAAGAGATGTCAAAGCTAACTTATTACTCAAGCTGAAGAAAGCCGCCTAAACTGCCGGACATAACTAATGGTGATGGTGCGAGGAACTTCATACAGTTTTTTTAAGCTAATGCTGCATCTACAATATCCTTCCATAACCCAACTTCGAATTCGAGAGACAGAACAAAAGTTTTGCTACAATACAAAATCTTTGACAGCCATTAAGTGTGGTATCTTTTCCAAGACAGCTGTTTTAGAACCAAAACAAGAGGATCATTAGTTCATAGTAGAAATTTCAGCTCTGGACAGCTGATAAGAGAGCACAGAGTAGTTCTGAATTAGTAATTTTATTAAAGATTGCATATGGCAAGTTCACAGTTCATTTTTCTGGCAGTGCACATGCACATAAAGAAAAAAAATATAAAACTTTGGAAAATACAAAATAAATTAAGTACATGCAAATTTGCAGCTTCATTAAATATTTTTAGCAAAATGCTCCCCAAAATAGTGCAACATTAAAAAAAAAAAGTTAAATTAAGTCCAACTTAACTTTGCAACAACCTAAATAATTTCAGTAGAAAAAAAAAAAATCTAAAGTCAATTCACAATCTTTCAAAACGCTCTACGTGAACTAAATAGTGCTACGTCTACTAACAAACACGTTCAGAAATTTAAAAAAAAAAATCAATCTCAAATAAGAGCAAACTTCTGCAAAACAAGACTAGAGGGCTATGCTCGGCCGTAACCTTCCTAGAATCCGTGCTTCGTTAGGACGTAACGTTGCGTACTGTGCACACCTGAACAAGGAGGATATGTGTGTGTGTCTGTGTGTGTCACAGAAGCGGTAGGCAGGGAGGAGGAGCAGCAGCTTCTGCCTGCCAGCGGAACCTTCCCAGAACGATTCCAGTGCCCCCTTGCTGAGAAGATGGAAACTTTCTGTCTGGCACGAAAGAGAGATCCAAGAAAGGCAAGCGGTCTCATCCTGAGCTCCGTGCGCGTACCATCCGCAGGACGACTTGCGTATTGTAACTTGTAAAGACGTTCTCTTCCCCTTGCAGGATGCTCTTCACCTCCTGACAAACGTATTCCCAAATTTGGTCTGCAAAGGACAGCTCGAGTATACAACTCTCACCTCCTTTTGGACTCTCTCTATATAATTTTTTTTAAGGTAAGGGCCGGGGTTTTGGGGGAATCTTTTTTTTTTTTCTTCGTTTGTTTCTTTAAGGTCGCGTCCGTTCTGGTAGGGGACTGTTCACTCCGGTGTCTGAATTCCGGCGTGAACAGATCGGGGCTTGCCGAAGGCATGCGGGAAGGGGAAAGGGGGGATGCTTGTCGGCTTTTCCAAGACAAGATTTCCGCAGCATTCTGAAAGTCTTCAAAATTTCATAGAGAACAACGCTTACAAACACATGGCTAGCCATCACACCCCAGGAAAACCCACCACCGTAGGGAGAACTACAAGCAGATCGGATCTTAATTTTAAGATAGGTCACACAGATATATTCATGTAACTATCAAACTTCAAAACCTAGATCTATACTAACAGATTTCTCTGCATCCCGTTTGATCTTTACCAGGTACTGCAATAAAGGTTATTTTTATACAGTCCAAAGATTTTTATCAGGATATTACAAATGGTTCTTTGGGGAAATTTACTTCTGAAAATGTAAGCAGTAAAATTAAACCATATAGCAGCACATTTTCATCCCCTAAAAATATAAAATAATATGTATATTATACAGTAAATCAGTCATGACAGAGCACAATCACCTGCCTTTGATGGCACTTGGTCATTGAATAATTAATTCTTTGATGCCAGAAGTCGGGCTTTACTGATGCAACAGAGGACTTCGAAAAAGCATCAATCTGAGCATAGAAGCCCCAACCTAACCAGCGCCAAGGGGTCAAACGCAGTCAGTGAGAGATTCTGAGCGGCAGACTTCCTATCGTTACTTAGATGGTTATGTTAAATACATTGTACAAGTATCTGTAGAAGAGTTGAGCTGAACACTTCTGTACACGCGGAGATCCTACGAAGCTCGAAATACCTGGGACCAGCGCATTGCAGATGGCTGTAGGAAGCGCAGGATGAATAGGATGTGGATCAGGTTGAAGAGAGGGGAAAAAAAGAAACTAGTGACTTAATGACAGTCCTTAACATGCTAAGTGGAATTGACCTGTCAAAAGAGAGCAAGAAAGGTAACGATAATTAGTGGATGTTTGAGATTAGAGTGCAGATATGCAAAGCAACCGATACCCCCACTTCACCGAAAGGATGCGCAGCAACCAAAGAGCCACGGTAACAGCGACGACACCAGAGTCAGGTAAAGCACAATTTTAACAATTCATGACATTTGAGTTTCAGTTACTAAGTCTTGGGGAGGAATTTTGTCAGATCTATCTTTCCAGCCCACAAATTGGCACAGTCATAATGAAACAGTTCTCTTGATGGAAGTCATTCTTTGCCACCTGTAGCACAGCGTTATGTCTTGCCTAAATACATCCTTAAACGCTATCTAGAGGTCTAACTTTTTTTTCCCTTTTATCTCTCCGTTCTTTTAATGAGATTTTTCTCTCCACTGGTCGGCACTTGGATATGCTGAAGAGCAGACGCGTGCATACCTTACACGACAAGTAAGGAAAGTAACTGCAGTTGAGTTTGAAAACTCATTATAAAACAAAAGGCTGAAAAAATACAAATCCCAAACAATCCTTCTGTTTTATGTCTCCTGACAGAGAGGTGCTTTCCTAACACACACACAGAAAATGTGTTTACAGAAATATATAAAAATATTTTATATAACATCCTGGCAATATATTATAAAAATATACTCTATAATTTTAGATAACATATATGCATATTATACAGGCATCTTTCTGACTAATTTAATAGTAATTCCATCCAGAAGCAAGGTTCAAGGCACGTTAGCAAGTACAAAGGTGATTTAAAGTTGATTATAAAACATTTGAAATACAGACTTTTAAAAGCTCTTGGGTTTGAATTTTTTTCCCCGCACCCTTCTCATTAGCCATATGGAAAGCACCACATAAGTAACTGAATGTGCCTAGTACATTTTTAAATTAGCAAATACAAAATCAGCCTTACAAAGAGATGTGTTTTCCTCAATTAAGCATTTTCTTGTATAGTTATTTAAAAAAAAACCTTGTCCATATTCAAGATCAAGTTATAAAAATAAATACATACATAAATATCGATGCATCGATGGCTTTAAATTTACCCTAAATTAACGGTGGGAATTGTAGTTAGCTCCTAGTCATCATCCTTATTAACACCTTAAAGGAAACCAGGATGGTTATTAATTTATGCATCTTATTGGCCTAGATTAACTACGGTCTGGCTAGATTAAATATAGTTATTCATCTTGCTCAAGGATGGGGAGGTGCTAGGAACATACCAGAGACTTTGAGATAAGGGACATACAGACAAGAGCCTGTTTGCACAGCGTATTTCACAAATACAGATCCCAGTGCAAGCCGCTTTAATAATTTCAGTAGGCCACGACGGAGCATTACTGCCATCGTTAGCGTATCTTCATGTCAGTCCTTTCCTTCTCTTTCGAAACGAGGTATCAGACAAGTTTGAGTAAACATTAGAAGGGCAGGACAGGCAGATAACCAGCTTCCTTCAGATTTGAAATACGAAAGCACGCATGTCACCCACGCATCTGCTACCGGTCTGTCTGTCCAAGGCTTCCAGGCAGCGCCTGAGCATCCCCGGCGTGCCGGCTTGCTCACAGGTCTACCCATGCCAGGAGAGCATCCTCCAGCCCGCAGCTCGGTCACTGAGAAAGGTGTTGCAGAAATGGTGACAGCAAACCTGGAAGTTTGCGTACAGCACCTCAAGTGCTGCCCAACAAAGCCTCTCAAGTGTGGAATATTATCACCCGTGCTTTCCCTGAGCCCCAAACCTCAGCCGTCCCTGAACTCCGCTAGCGACCCTCTGTTCTGTGTGCGGGGCCAGGTTAGGTCCAAGGTATAATTAAAGCAGACTCGGAGATGATCTCGGCTCCGTCTGGAGAAAGCCCTTATTAAATCATGAGCTGCAGAAGCGCAGCACCACCGTGACTCACCTCTCCGTGAGCAACCTGAGTAACAGGACCTGTGTCCTCCAGATGGGGTGTAGGGGGGTTCTGAGCAGGTCCATTTCATGAATTTAAAGACAGAACCTCAAAACGAGCTGATTTGTACTAACAGTGGTCTGGCCACATATTTTAAGCATGAAAAACAATTCAACATAGATTTCTACTGCTTAATGCATTTTTCCCACTACTCACTTCAATCTGGCAGTTACTAACTAGCACGCTGCAAGGGACGTTCGGGTTTGCTCAGACACTGCCTTTATGCTTATTTCCATTACTAAAACTTATTATTATAGGTTTTCTTTAATGATTTAGAAATAAAACCCTATCAAAGTCACTATACAATCTGGTTTCATAATTTTGTGCAGTTTTTGGCCTAAACTTTGCGGGGCAGCATGAGAAAGAGTCAAAACAATTTGGGTTTTGGTTTGGTTTTTTGGTTCCTATCTAAAGCAGAATACATATCATAGTTTTTGCTTTTTTAATTCCTGGTGTTACTTGAAAAACTTTAATATTAACCTTTTTTGAAACCTGCACCATGTTTAGTTATATTTAGAAAGTATTCCCATAGAGAGCTTTAAATACGACAATATATAACTGAGCTCTGTAGTTGACCAGCAGAGAAACTAAACTGCAACCATCCACATGACATGATTTGCAGCTATTCTCACATGGGGAGTGTTGTTCTTTAAGGTTTTGTCAAAATACTTCTCCCCACAAAATTAAAAAAAACTTTGTAAGAATTGCATTGAAGAATGCATTTCGACCACCTCTGTTAAAACAGAAAAGATTAAACTGTAAGAACTGACTCAAAACTGTGCTACAGAAATAAACATTTAGAAATCGCCAAGGCCGTCTCCATGAAACCCTGGCATAAATTCAGCTACAAGGTTGTGGCCATTCCAGCGCCATCTTCTTACATAAATACACTGCAACCCAAGCAGGACTTCCACTGCAGCAATTATCCCCTTAGCTGCACCAATGTGAATTCCCTTCCTGATCATTTCCGAAATCTAGGTTTGAGGTACGCCCCAGGTAACAAATTCATTGCACTTGTATTTTCAAAAACGTCTGCGATGTAGACAGAGCGAGGAGTTATCTCACAGAGATTTGCAGACGCTCCTTGGCCTCCCGAGTCTCCTCTTTAAGCCAGCTACCGGCAATTTGCAATTCCAGGACCACATTTTATTAACGCCCACATTTCTTTCTTTCCCATCTGCTACTGTTATTCGTCAGATGCTATGCTTTCTGGGGTGGAAATCGCCTCCTTACGTCATGCGCGCTGCACGGAGGCAACGTGGCCCAAACTGGGCGAGGTCTGAACTCTGTCCTGATTCGCCTCGTAGGCTGGCCCGGCTCTGCAGAAGACATTTTACCCATGAACTTCGTAAAAACAGCACAAGCAATACTGGCTGTTACGCAGGGGTAGGCTGCCGAGTTAATGAATCATAATCACCGACCAGTCTAACAGCAATAAGCGTCTATTATCTTCACTGTGAGTGATGAATGAACATAAGATAAATTGCCCCTCATCCTTGTATAAAATTTTCATTCCGGAGATAGGGTATGTTACTTGACAGCAAACATTTATATAGAAACCCCACCTTTATTTCACTGCTGTTAAATGAATGTGAAAGGAAGTTCTGTTCTAATTCTAGCTGTGTAGAACTGTGCCATTCAAAAGCATGGTGTAGTTCTACAGAGCACAGAAACGTCTCAGTGATGTTATGGAAATAATCTGTATAAATTTTTCCCTGCACAAGTAGTACCTTTACTAACACTCTTACTCAGGCCCCTGGGCTTTCATCCAAGCTCAGAATTCAGATTACTCTGATACTCCCAAAATCCTTTGGCAGCCAAATAGTTGCAATTTGCCAGTAATCATCATAACTGAAGGGCCAGATCTTATGAGAACTGACCTTCTTTAATCACTGCCCGGCCTTACATCTTCAAGACATCTTTCTAGATGTGTGCAAAAAATCTAGAACTTGACTGAGTTTGGAAACCAATTATAAAGCCTAAAATATGGTTCTCTGAAGTAGTAATCATAGAATAGAATCATAGAATATCTTGACTCGGAAGGGACCCATAAGGATCATTAAGTCCAACTCCCACGACATTTCAAATTGTTGCCTTACATATAATACGTGATACATAATACAGGCAGGCGTTAAGACTCAATCTCGAGCAATAAGGAAACAAGACCGATAAAAGCCATAAGGAAGCACTACTGCCAATCAAGAAAAAACCCACACATATGCACTTTTTAAATGGCTTCATTCCAACCTGTAGGGCTTCCATTTGGTTTTCAGAGGGGTTTTTTCCTAATTTTTTCAGAAACCATAAATCCGTAAGTTTACCCCGTTTCTTCTAAGATCTTCCATCTTCTTCTTCTCCACCCCTATTTGTCCACGAGCTCCTCTGCAACATGTTCCAAGCGTGGCCTGAATCTGCTCATCCTCCACCTCCCTCAAATCTAAACCTCAGCATCTAAAACATTTGAGAGGTACTCTGTGCCTTCTGACTGCTTTTTGTTGACTTCCAAACTCCTATCTTGTTATACACCTATCTAGTTTTAAGTGTATTTATTTTGTTAATAACTTTTATTAATCTACAGTTGTTCACTTGACACGTGCCTTTACCTAATGTGTGGCCTGCTTGAATCTGACACTTAATTTCATAGCAGATGGTATATTAAAGGCCCGCCCAGTTTAGGCAGGTAGCCGCTTTTTTTCCCCACCGAGCAGCTGGTATATGTTTGGAATCTTTTACCGAGCAGCTGGTATATGTTTGGAAATATTTGGAAATATATATTATATTTGGAAATATATATTATTTGGAAATATATATTATATTTGGAAATATTTTACATGCCTCTGTATCACACTCTCTTCCCTTTGCTCTTTCACAGAGGTGGGAATGCAATGAAGTAGCTAGACAGAGTCTATCTCGCTTGTGAGATGGAAAAGCCAATTTCAGTTCAGAATGAACTAATGCACAAAAACACTCAGCAAAGACTTGCCCTAATTCATCCACAGCGAAAATATGTTGCTTGCAGCTACAGGGCTCATGTAAAACACAATGAACAGAAACAATCCGCGTAACACAATAACAGCTTGAGTGCGACGTGATGGATGGTTTGCATGCATGCGTGACATGAAACATTCTCCAAAAAAAAAAGAAAAAGAAAAAAACACTGAAGAATGCCAAGTGCCTAAAGGAAACCACACACTATCAGAAGAGAGTCGTTAAGACAGAATTAATCCTCAAGGAGGGGAAAAAGCCAAACTTGGAGGGACAGCTTAGCAGTCCACTGGCTGCTTTTCACAGCCACTCACTACCATCCAACTCTTAATATGCCTGTAACATAAAGTTATCCTCTAAAATAATAGCAGATGTAAAGTATCTCAGAAATAATGAGCGTTTAAAGAAATAAATGGGAGAGGAGGGTACATGAAGCAGTCTCACGGGAATATGCTGCTCGTCTTTCCAGGATAAGATTTTTGCTTAGGAGAAACCCTCAAGCCCTTGCAACTTGTGACACTCAAATTTGGGGAGCTCTGTGCTGCTGCCACTTACGGCTGCTCTACCCCTGTCCCAGGCTGGAATGTCGCAACACGGGAACATATTCATGTTACAGAAAGCAGAAAATTATATTGGCAGAAGGAACCTCTGGAACGCTATTTTTACTACATGAGTTTCACACCTCTATGTGTGAATTTCAGTACAGATTTACCAGAGCGTTTTAGTTTATTAAAAGAAGTTTTAAGTGATAAGTCATTAAAATAAAAACTCTCATCGGCAGCTTGCAAAGCATTCTAACAAGGCACTCCTCACTTAAATTACTAATTTTCACAGTTAAATTATCAGCAAACGACTCTTACTAAAACTAGAAAAAAAATTCTGTGGATCTTCTAAAAGCAAGACTGAAACACAAGAAAACTGGGTGATCAGTGAAAGAACAGATGAGTAAGTGACTTTGGTCTTACTTCTCGTCTATTTGGTGGTGTGATAGTAGCTGGAGTTTGACATCCCTCCCCCTCGGATGGCATGGACAGCCGTTGGAGAAGACGCTGGGTAATGACCAGGGCGGATGGGCTTGGCTGCAGAGTAGAAGTAGGAAACCAACAAGACATTTAGCTTTCACACAAGGTTTTCTACCTCACCTTCACCTCTAGTATGAGCCCCATTGTTCCCAAACAAGGAGCCGTGCTTGGCAGAGTAGTCTATAATCTAGCTCTGCGGAACACGGCATTCCTTTACCTCGGCCAACAACAAATACATCCATTTTCTGCTTGTGACAGAGCCATTTAACCATCCTATGCATGCTCCTCATCTCCGCAAAGATTATGGACTGTCTACACAACAGAGGGATGTCATGACTCACTTGGTGGTCAGTAATGTACTTTCTATGCCCAATTTTACTATTCATATCGTTCCAGAAGATGCTGAGACGAAGCCGTCAATGGCTTTCTACAAGAGGTAGCATACAGCAGGAAATATTGTGTGCTGCCTAATTCTTTCTCAGGTTTTAAGACACCAGTATTAGCATCACCATCCAAAGCGTTATCCTTCTATTTTAGCAATTCCAACAAATCACTTCAAAAATTGCCCCATCTTAAACACCATTTGATTGTATGCACGCATTCAGATTGCGCCGCAAAGATATATCAAGCATCCGAATTATATAGGAAGATTTTTGACTCTACACAGTCCAAATTAAAACACAAGGACGAGTAATCAGGGGAAAGGAGAGGAAGGGACAAGGTCCAGAAAGGCAAGGAAAGAATGAAAGCAGAAGGAGAGTATGTGGGGGAGGAGGAAGAAAGTGAGAGACTAATTTAAAGAGACAAGTTTTCAGGTCACTAGAAGGGCACACAAGGCCCATTATGCCATTTATTTACTGAGCTAAATAGCAGAGGCGCTTTAAACTTTAGGTGGGGCAGATTCTATTAAAAAGTGAAGTCTTTGAAGATTCCTGTGCAGCAGAGGAGAAGCAGACTCTGTGGTTTGCCCTGGACTGCTGCTTTCAAAGCTCTTTCTATTTAAACATGAGCAAACAGACCAACCATGAAGTATGTGAGCAACCGCTAACCCTTTAGCTCCATGTCCTTACCAATTTGAGCAGAGTGTGCTCTCCGTGCCATGTTTTTGGCTCTCACAGCCTCCTTAATGCGATCTACCTCCTGCTGGTACCGTTTGCGGTCTCGCATGGCGTTCTCCTTGGCCTCCTTCAGTGCGCTCTCCAGGGCCTTAACTCTCTCTGCCGTAGCTCTAAGTCGTTTTTCCAGCTTAGGAAGCTCACAACGAAGATCTGCATTATCACGTACCAACTGCAAGAAAAGAAGTTTCAAAAATATCCTGTGAGAAACTATGGGAAAGGTCCTCTACCAGGAGAGACACAAAATACCACCGATTCCTCTTCACACCTTGTATACTACGAATGAAAGAAACAGGTTTCTTCCAGAAATTACTGTGAAAAGCTTCTGTCAAAGAGAGATTTATTTTTAATCATGCAGTTCATTTGTCTAGCTGAGGTATGATATTCATTTAAATTTTCCAGAAAGATCAAAGAACAAGTGAGTTTTATTCCATTCAACAAAACCTCACAGATCTGATCCTGGAGGGTGAGGGCTCCAGGACAAACCCTGCTACCAAGATATCTGCTTTCCTAGACTTCAGGAGCAACTGCGGCAGAAATTCTGCATTTCTTCAGAATGCAGAAACGTCCGGCATTTCGCAAATACTTGATCACCTCATTATTTCAAAATGGCAATGCTTAAATATGGCTTATGAACAAGTACATCGTCAAAAATTCATCATCTCCACTGGTTACGGCATGCTTACCTACTCGTTCCCTACACAAGCATATGGGAAAATCGGAACCTTCAATGCCTCAAACATCACTAAGAAATCACTTAGGGCCTGTAGCTGTAAGTGTGATGATTATATGCAACTCTGAATTCATGCAGTTCCTCAATTAAATGCGAACCTGAGCAAGGTCTATCGATTATCAGAGTAACATCTAACTTCACATGCAATAGCCAAGATAGAGAATTGATTTTTTCATAAATAAAAAAACTGATGCAAACCGTTAGAAGATCCAGTACAATTGCTACTCAACAGATTATACCACTACTAGAAGTCAACAGAAAACTGTTCCAAAGGAGTGATTCTCCCTTTTCTGGAGCGAAGGGAAAAAGTGGTTTAACTACCACATTAATAATACAGTAAAGCAACAGCACGTACTAACATTCACACGCTGTTTGACAATCAAAATTTTTTACACCTGCTAGTCCAGGCTTAGTGCCAGAAGAAAAACACAAAGCTAAGAAAAAAATTGTCACAACGTGCTTTTTCTGCAAGTGTTGAACCCTTGTTCTACGAAATAGTTATGATATGAAATAAGAGCAGGATGGTATCACATTCAGGTCAAGTCCAATGTCATTTTTCCCTCTAAGTTTCTTATGAGACGTGGACTCCTAGTTGGTTTTGAGTAAATATACGCTAATGAGCGCTATAAAAATCTGTATCTGAAAACCCAGGAGATGTGTGAACTGAGTGCAAAAAAGGCAAAACAGTAAAAGGAAAAAACACTCCTAACATGTCCTGATTTCCACATTTAGAAACTGGGTCTTTAAACCATCTGTTCACTGGGAATCTCAAAATACTGAACCTTAGCGGACACTTGTCACGGTCCGGCACTGCTTGCTTTTTTGGCACTTCCACAGGAATAAATAAAGCGAATCTCGGAGAGCGCTGTGTCTCACTAATAACAGATTCAGCAAACTGCACTGGAGAATGTTATGTCACTATTCAAAAACGAAATCAAAAGCATCTTTACTATTTTGTGCTCCGCACCTGAACAGTTCAGAAATACTAACATCTGACAAGAGGGTGGACGCAGACTTATTGGCAGAAACGATCCAGTTTTATCTAACGAGGTGCTGCCTAGCTATATACACACACCACTGACACATACACACTTCCAGTAAGCAGAGGGTAAGGCTCTTTCCTCGACGTACACCCAAAACGCTTGCCTACCACGCACCCCCTCCACCCCTCACTTGCACGGTGGGTACCTATGGTGAAGGGCTCTCCGTAGCCCTCGCCTCTCTGAACAGCAGAATTGCTAAGGAAATGGGAACTCCATGAAAGAGGGAGGAGACAGAGATGGACATGCCCAGAAATGGCCAACCTCAGCATCCCGGGGAAGCACCAGCCCTTGAGGCAGCACAGAAAACCTCCATTTCTTTGCTTTCATATTCTGCTGGTTGACTCCACTCAAGTCACCTCCAAGGGTGTCTCTAAGCACCTTTAGGCCAGGAGTCAAAACACAGGATACACAATCCATCTAGAAACCAGCTATGAGTACACAAGGTAATAACACACACTTTATTCTGGTTTTTTTATGCATTACACCAATACAGTGACAATTAGTCTTGCCAAAACTGCTGGAGTCTATTTGCACAGAAAAGATAACTGTTCATTTAATGCATTCATAAGAAGTATGGGTAGTGGGAAGAGCAGCTCTAACACCAACTCCTAATGCCAAGAATTTTAGTTGAGAACTGTAGGTACCGTTTCCTCAGACAGTACATGTTACCTTCAAAAATTATACTTTTAAACATAAAAACGTATGTTGTTTTTTTTTTTAAAGGTAATTTGTAACACTACAGAACAGTGATACATGCAAAGTTTTCCCCATAGCTGAATTTTCAGATTAATCAATGAAAAAGACACAATAGTAACTAGGTGAGGAGAGGGAGGAGAGGGAGGAGAGGGAGGAGAGGGAGGAGAGGGAGGAGAGGGAGGAGAGGGAGGAGAGGGAGGAGAGGGAGGAGAGGGAGGAGAGGGAGGAGAGGGAGGAGAGGGAGGAGAGGGAGGAGAGGGAGGAGAGGGAGGAGAGGGAGGAGAGGGAGGAGAGGGAGGAGAGGGAGGAGAGCCCCTACCTGTTTGTGAACCTTCGTAAGCTGTTCCAGGTTGTTCTCAAGAAAGGAAATTTTCTGCTTCTGTGCAGCACTTCCACCTCCGTCGTCGCTGTCAAGTTCAACGCTCTGCACAGAGAGTTGCAGCGTTCAGCAAAGCCAGGCAGAAACTCAAGAGGAAGCTCAAGTCTTTTGTGAATTTTAGCTTCCCAACGGCAGAAAAGTATTCCAGAGCCCCAAATTAAAGAGAATTTATTTTACCTGTTCAATTGATATTTAAGAGCCACATTCCCCGCTACACAAAAAAATAAACTATTCTTACTAAACAATTACGGGGGGATCCTGAATAGGAAAATCACAGATTTTAGTGGGGAAACCCCTTTTCGCTCTTTTTTCCACTCCTGGGAAACATTTTTATGTAATATGGGTTTTCAACCTTAAAAAGTATAAACACTCTTCCCCAAAACTACTCTAAAGGACTGAAAAGCGTTGCAAAGCCTTTGACTATTTATGCAGCTTTTGACTCTTCTTCAACAGTTAAAAATACATTAAATTCTGCCAAATAATAATTTTGCCAGGAAAAGGCTGACTAGTCACAAGCCCACAGAAAAAACGGGCCGCAGCATTCAGTGTGGCACAAGTTAGTGCAAGTTATATTGAATAATTTCTGGTACCCTTTAATACCATCTTTGAGAATTCAGTAACTGAACTGAATTGGATTGGTTCATCTCACTTAACCACCAAGACTTGTCCTTAACAAATCAGGACCAAATAAAAGCTAATAAACATCGGAACAGTTTTAATCTTATTACTCATTGTTACTGAAAAAGACAATAACCCATTTTGTGACAACACGCACTAAAGGCTTCCAGTAAATCACAAGAATACTGCAAAAAAGATAAGACTTTGGTTTAAAAGAGTATAGCCTTACTTTTTTAACGCGGGTGGTGAGATCTTGCACGAACAGTTTGCGCAGGTTGTGAAGAGTCTGAAGTTCTCTTGCCTGGAATCAAAATAATAATTAAAAAAAAAGGCACAAACCAGTAAGACATAGTAGACACTCTGGGGTATAAATTCTCTTCAGATTTGAGTAGATAATGTAACTTTACTGCGATTTACTTGGAGATGTACCTGCCTGTAGGTATATGCAGCTCACAGACAGGCAGTGCCCACGCTGTTCCCCACTGAAGAGCTCTTGCACCTCCCAAGGTGTTCACCACACCAAAGCTACTTCTGAAAACATGCTGACCCCGTCTCAGGGGGCTGGGAAACAACAGCAGAAAGCTGAAGTCTCACAAACGGGCCACGGTCACACACGCCTAGCGACGTGAAAGAGCGCTGGATTCACCCTCTTAGCAAACTCATTGGCCTGCTCTGAATGCTTACTCGCAGGCATTCTTAACTTAAGAATGCACTTAAGATGTTTAAGTGCTTTTTAAGGTTTGGCAAAAATCCAGGCTTTCCCAGCTTTTTTCTTTTTTTTTTTTTTTATATGCATCACCTTCTCAGGCTCAGCAAAATAACCACCTTACTCCAGACCGGAGGTGTGACACAAGAAGTGGCAACCCTGCACCCACTCCCAGAAGGACAGAAGCGCTAATCCACTTGCGGGAAAGGGAACTATGTGGACAGGCAGTTCACCCCAACCCCATACCGCACCAAAGCCACACTGAAGAGAACTGTCTTTCCAAAGTCGGAGAGCGCAACCTTAGCTTTTCCATTTTATGCTTATCCGCTCACACAGTGGAATTTAAATGAATTGCTCAATAAGCTCCACCATGACTACAAGCTTTTGAACTTGAATTTTTTATCTTTATCTCTCAAAAGAAAAAGGCAAAACTGACTAGAAACTGAAAAGGAGAAGCTTCCTTCATGGACTACTAGAAAACATACATAACCAGCACAGCTTAGCTATGTATGAGTGATGTGGTACCCAGAAGAGGCACCATGTGCCACCCGAAGCCAAACACAGCTGCAGAGCAGACACCTCCCCAGGAGCTCCCATTCGGGGTGCTGCCCCAGCAGACCACCACCCCGTAACTCCCTCCCACGGGACCCCTTCTTTTGGCTTCCTCACCAGCCCAGCACTGGGCAGGAGAACGAGTCAAAGAAAAGCAGCAGCTGTGGTCCCACCAAAACTGTTCTTCGTCCCTTCCTTCTCAAAAGTAATCATCCAAATGACACGCGATGCCCACGGAGCCTGATGCCTCCCCATACCAACGGGGAGGGACGAGCCACCGCTGGCCTTTGATGGCTCATGTTTTCCTGTAATTCGCTATGCTTGATTTTTAATTCCTGCTGCAGTAATTATTAACACTCTAACAAAGTGAATAAAATTTGAATGTAAGATAGTTCAAAGGTGTTTATTCAAAAATTAAAAAAATACCATCTGGGTTTCTGCAAGCTGATGGCATCATACTGCCTAACTCCTGATTTCCAGCTGCCTTACTCGTTCGGCGTACAGGGCAAATCAAGTCTACATGCAAGCTCTATAAGCATCTGACGAGTACAATTCCTATCAGAAACGTTGGTTAAATCTGTCCCTCGCATGAGTTTATTCTAACAAGGCTTATGTCTGGGGAACCATCAGGAGCCAAAGCTGAAAGGACCCGAATAGTTCAGCCACAGTAATGAACTCCAACTGATCCTGAGGCTGCTATAAGTTTAATTTTTAAAGCATCACACAGAGGAGAAAGTCCTGGTTTTGAGTTAATAACTGTTAACGCTAGCAAAAATCACTCTATGATGCTCCTAAAACAGCTATGGTTTTGACCAACTTCCGAGATCTTTGAGAAAGCTTGCGTGTTTTACATACAGATAAAAATGTAGCTTCCAACAAAACTGTGCAGCAACAGCTTCAAGCCTGAAGCCATCCATCATAGATCTTGTCTTGAACATTGCATGCACAATATCATATTTCTTTGTCAGCTGTTACACTGGTCAAGTTAGAGGCAGGTATTTATCACCTAACTGTAGCTACACTGTTCAGTACGCTGGTTATTTCAGGGGATTTAAAGGAACAAGGACAGTGAAACAGAGTACCGGTAGACTTAACAGCGATAGCTAATTCACAGGAAGCAACAATAATAGCATTTAATCTTAAATTTTAAAATTCAATTTCATGACTTGGCGAAATGCACAAATTTAGCCTATTATGATATAAATTGGTCATTTTCTTGGGCACAGATACAAGTGTTTTGGTAATACATCAGTGATGAAGACCTAGGGGGAAAAAAGCTCAATAAAGTGTAATTAAGACATACCACTGTTTCCTCCAGCCCCTTAAGATCTTCTCTTGCTTGTTCCCTTTTATCATTAAGCAGTCTAGAAAGATCACAACATTAAACACAAATCAAAATGCTGAAGTCATGTAAGACAGAAGAGAATCAATCAACATTCAGTTTGAGTAGAACATCTGCAGATGTGAGCAAATTGTACATCTCTCTGCATCTGTAATTATGCTTTCGACTGTCCCAAATATGCAGCTTTCTCACATGGAATGGCTGAGGCACCATCTCCATTTTTTGTGTCCACACATGAAATTTTTCTCTCTCATTTCCAGTAAAGGCATTTACTCAGACATCTAATTTACCACTTAAAAAGCAAAAACCCAAAAAACCCACTCAAAACCCCCAACTACTTCTTGTTTGTTTTTGCTGTGCATTAAGGAATGAGGGATTTAACACTTGCCATGATATTTCATAAAATCAGAGCTCTAAAAAAAAAAAATCTTTTTTGGCAAGTATCAAATCCACTATTAAAAAACCTATGATATAAAAATACGGAGTAATTGGTCATCATTTATTAGTACTGCATGTTGGCTGTGTTACCGAGGTGGTATTTTCAGCATGAATATTTCAACACAAATGCTTCTCACTAGGACATTTCCTGTGGACACATTAAAAGACACTATATTCAAGGACACCAGATGAGAAAATTGTTGACTTACATGAGCTTTTCCAGTTTCATTTCTCTTTCCTGGTCCTCAATTTTTAATTTATCATAATCAGCACTCAGTTTATCTTGTTCCAGTTGCAGCTTCTGATTCATACTGGAATGGGAAAGAAAAAGCCAGTACAGCTCAGGCCTGAACCCCATAAACAAGGGTGGGTAAATCTCCATAAACAAAATGGGGTTAGACAGAGAAAGTAAAGCTGTAACTCGCTACTGAAAAACTCTGAAAGAAATTAAGCATAAAGAATCTGAAGAACAGAATTTAAAAATATTGGAGAATTAAATTCAGCGGGTGGCTCCCTTTATCTTAAAGGACACAAACTGTTCTTGCAATCTTTCTGTCCCACCGCCTCATGTTTCTCATCTCCCTCTTACTAGTCTTTGGCCACACAATAAATATGATGAAAGAATGAACACTACATCAGGATTGCCTAGATTTTACGAACACTGGCAAAAAGAAGAGTACAGGAGCAAAGAACTCCATTTTTCAAGTGCTGGAGTATCTGACTAACAGGCTTGCATTGCTGTGTCAGGAAGAAATATTGAGGGTGTGAAAATGGGACGCATTTGAGTCACCCAGACTCTCAGAAAGTCTGTGGCAGGACCAGTTCTATAAGAGGCCCTCAAAACCTTTATCTTTTAAAATCTTTTCTCCTCCAAGCTTCTCTTACCTACTGACCTGCAGGTGTAACACTATTCTCTCTTCTTCCTCTCTATAATTTTATGGACTTGTTAAAGCTCCACAATAAAGGACTAGGCACTATAATCCACCGTGCAAAGCAATTAGAGGGTTGGCTGTTGCACGTGAGGACACTACTTTCTGTAAGACACCGAAATATATAGACAACAATTAAAACTAACAAAACCAACCCCAGAACACCCCTACAGCGTCACAGAGGAAGAGAGGAAGTGATGGAGCGAGTGAACGTACTCTCTGATTTCATCAATTATTTTCTGCTTCTCTTCAATTTCATCCCTCAGCCTGGACAGCTGCTTCTGGTGGGCTTCCCTGTGGCTCTCCATCTGCTGCTCCAGTGCCTTCTGCAGAGTGCAAAAACCAGAGCCATACGCGAAACAGAAATGAAGTAACACACACACGTGTCAGCTAAATCAACCTATCTTTCTGGATTTGAGTGAAGCTTACCAAATCAGGTTAATTCCGGAATCTGCCTGGGAGAGCTTTCTACGATTACAAAACTGTGCGTCTACTCCTCCAAGCATTTAATCCAGACAGTTTTTAGCAACAGATGTACACCAGTTTCTACTCATTTTCTTGCAAAAACTACCGCATGTGAAAGCCAGGGTCTTAGCATATCAAGTGCCAAGAATGACACTGTTTTTACCAGTCCTCTATTATTTCACCTGTTTATTCACCAAGAAAATATGTGTACAGCTATACCTGTGACAGAAGTAAAACCCGAAACACCCTCCCCCTCTCTGAGAATTGTTTATCCACAGCCCTGTTACTCAAATTCTAGGATTAGATATATCTCAAGCAGTAAGAAAAACTCAATGCATCTCTTTAGATTGCTAATAAATGATTTGCTTTTTTTTCTTCCAACTGTAAGGAATAACTGTGCAACTGTTTTAATAACTTTATCTTTTTATAATGAAGGTAAAAGTTCTGAAGCTGACAAACCTCTATCGCTATCCTTGTAAAATTGTATTTTTCCTTTTCTGCACTTTGCAACCCCATCAGGAACACAACTCACACATTACCGCCTAACATTTCCTTGCATTCCAAAGGAAGAAGAAAATAGCAGAAAACAGGTTTATATTTCATTATTATTATTATTTCTAGGGGATAGTCAGAATTCTTGCCAAATTATTTGGGAAAGTGGCCTCTTTTTTTATCAAATTTTTTAGAACATAAATTATATTAACCCCAGTAGCTTGAATCACTACTTAGCAAATTGACTTTCAGCAGAGTTCCACCAGCAAAAAATTAGAGTAACATAGAGGTGAATCAGTATCATTTTTCAATCATATATAACAAAACTGTTCTCAACTATGGATGCAATATACTGGGTCTTATACTTCGGTTCTCCGTTCGTGTAATTTGAGGAACCCAGGCATCTCCAATTCAGCAAACACAGTCCACTGAACCTCTCTACTCTTTGAAGCTGGCTCAGCTTACAAACTGGTCTCAGAAGACGTGCTCACCTCAGACGTTCAGACTATAACTTACTTTTTTCCATCATCTGGTCAACAACCTCAATACTAGCAAGTTCTCTAATTTCACATTGCGAAGGTTGCTCAATTACATGAGGTCAGGTTTTCTAACAGAGGCTGGCAATTCTGACAGAGGCTGGAAGTGTTTTCTAAAAGCACACAACGTGTACAGGAAGACAAAATTACACCCCAATTATCAGCTTAATGAACGATCTCACTGAGAAATGCCCTCTAAAACTGCAGCGTGCCATACTACCTTCATCTCCTCTGCGTCCTGAAGCCGGGTCAGATGCTCCTTCTCCTTATCCTTGAAACTGACTTCGTGCATTTTTTCTGTTTAAAGTTGGAGACAATTGAGAATTAACCACACAGTTCCAGGACATGCTACATCCAGCCATTTAAAAAAAAAAAAAACACTAACAAAAAAACCATGCTACATCCAGCCATTTAAAAAAAAAACAACACTAACAAAAAAAACAGTTCCCCTTTTTGCAAGGGGCAGCGGGATCAGGGGAGACAGCTTTGGAGGGGCAGAAACAGCCCTGGTTTGCAGTACCCAACCTGTGACCATACTGCCCAAACCCCCTTTTCCTTTACTAACAGCCCACATTGTTTTCAGGACACCCAGCACCTTTCCAACCTACCCCTGTCTCCTTATAACCCTACGTATCACAATCCTCCTTGTCCCCTTTCACTTTCTGCTGGGAAATGGTGGCCTCCAGAACCAGGTCATTTCTTATGAGTGGGGTAGGAAGATCAGGAGATGGAATAAAAATTCTATTCTAAAAAATGCAGGAGATGTTAAAAACAAAAATTAAATCTTGTCACCACCTGCTGCTCCTGGAGTGAGAGAAGATCCCTTGTGCAGAAATCCAGAATAATGTTAAGGCTACTAGGTCATATTGCAATTATACGTAAAACAGGAGCTTTAGCAATGCTAGAAGAACTGCTTTTGATATACATTTTCCACGTTAAATCAGAAGGGGAAAAAACAGCAATTCTTAAAATGAAGCCAGCTGGATCCTATACAGGAGCTAGGAAAGACACACCTTCTACTCGATCCTAAGGGAAGCAGCTTCCTTTTGAATGGGGCAGGGCATTTGCCAGAGGGAAATTAGACAGATATCCAAGAATTTTACAGAATAGAGATTTAGCAAGGTTGATTGGTGCTGTTTGGCTAAAGTATTTGTTTTTTGTTTGGGTTTTTTTTTTTATTTCTCACATCATTAAAGCACAAGGTGAAGCTTGTCATAAAGTTTTTGATTCTTCTGAAAAATTAAGTTTCTCTCTATTTTGTGAAAGGACTAGGCTGAAAGGGATAATTCTGGTTTTATCTGAAGTGTAATGTACTACAAGGAAGTGCAATGTGTTAAATATTCTGAATCACAATTTTATGTCTTCACCGCAAAATACTAAGCAGACTATAAAACGTTGTAGGACTACCCTACAGCCAATACTTCAGCCAATACTGAATTTTGTAAGATATAGTTGGTAAAAGAAGTGACCACAAGACCCAGTGTTGTACCTTGAGCACGTAACTTGGCAAGTTCTTCATTGAGAGAGTCCTGTGACTCTTCCAGCTGCCTTCTCTTCTGCTCCATATTTTGCATGTAGTCTGTAAGGGACTTGATCTTTGCTTCATGCTTTAAAGACATGGGGAATAGCAATGAGATGTGAGTACCACAGCTTGTTACCTAGGAATTCAGGTACTGTCCTACATAAAGGAGGAAAAATAGAAAGCTCTCCACATGTAGAGCTGATGACTTGGAGAAAATACAGCAAAAGATCTGAGAAGGAGCTAATGGACCAAAACAAACTGCATTTTTAAAGGTCACACTTAGTACCCCAAGACATATACTGAACAGTGCAGATGGTAATTCCAAAACACCATGGGAAGCTCATGACTTAAATCCGGCTGAAGGCTGGATTTGCCATAAAACAAAGTAAGGTCAAGGGACCTGCACAGGAGATCCAATTTTTAGGAAAAAATGGAGATGGTATGTGGTGTTGGATTGTTTCATGTTGAAGTCAGTTCTGGTACCATCATCACTGTGCTTTGCTTGGTTTCACTGAAGTTATTCTTCATTAGTCTGGGTGATTCTTATTGTAATAACATTAGTATGGCATATAATATTATTAGTATTATTAGTATATCTGTGTATTATTAGTATAACTATTATAACTATAATTAGTACTTAACATCACATAATTCAGATCATTGGCTATTCTCACCCAAAATCAAATCCCCTTGAGG